TTACTCGAAGTAAGACCCTAAATAAAGAAAAAAGAGAAATACAGATATATGAGCTCTAAAAGCTTTCAATAATTGTGGATGGTTTTGTTTTGTTTTTTGTAATATCACAGAGATTCCAAGTCATTTTCCTAAAATATACTGCCTTCTGTTTTAACATCCAGCTCAGGTGGGCTAAGACTTTTTATTGCCATCACATTTACAAATTGTTTCATTGCAAAATTTCTTTTAAATCCTGAAGACCAGGGTCAGCAGAAAACTCTTCACTTGCTTCACAAAATATTGCTAAGAACAAACTGCTATTTCCCTTTTCCTGCTTAGAACATGCCCTTAGAGAGGATTAAGTGGGCTGACAGTGAACATCCCCCCGCTTAACCTTTCTTTCTATTCCTTCTCACTCACAATTTGGTGTGTGACCCCAATGACTTCTCCATGCTTTATCTCACTTCTTGACTACACTGTATGAATTGCCCAAGCAGAATATGAGAAGTTTTGCTACAGAAAAGTAATTTATCTAAACCAAGCTCACTGCCATGAATGACTAAGCTTTCACAAGCTAGTAGCTCAGATTCTCTGAAGACTAGAAAATGTGCCAGGGAAACAGCATGTAAGATTGAGGGGCAACAACTTCAGTGCTTTCAGTCTCTTTGATAAGCACTCCCACTCCTTAGTCCTTTGGCTGCTGCAAGGCATCCTAAACATGTTAGCAAATCTCTCCACAGACAAAACCAGTTCAAAAATTATTTTACATGTGAAATCATCTGTTCATCTCCAAATACACCACAATCTATTTATTCTCTATTTATTCTAATCAAACTAATACCATTAAAAACATCTTTCTTCCTACTGCCACAACTATTTTAAAGTCTATGAAAATGAGAAACTAGAAGAAAAATATCAAGGACATTCACACTTCAGCTACAGCTTACTTGTTACAATGGTGTTTTATGTGCTTTTTGTATCCTTCATCTTGCAACAGATGTTCTGGGTTGTATTTTCGAAGCCATTCAGCTTTGTGTATATCGAAAGTGCTAGCCTGGGTCTTCACTTTTTTTCCTTTTCTTCCTCTAGGCACAGGGGCTGATAAGCCTATATAATGTAAAATATTAAAATTATAGATATAGATAGCCACAATAGCTACAGTTCCTATATCCTATACTTGTGACCTGCAGTGCAGGAACAACACTCACATCAGTCACTCTGAGTCTTTTTTGTGTCATCTCTGGAGTACACATGACCAGTAAGGACAAATAGGAGAGGGGGAAATGAGGACTGTGTTGTCACATACAGTGAAACAGAATAGGTTCTTATCAACTGAAATGAAATTCTCACCAAAGCACCATTTGGGTAAGCCATCAAATCCAACGCAAAGCAGCTATGACACTTCTTTGCCCATTGTGTTGGGCAAAGTTGTGTTGTTGAATTGTGTGCTTGAAATAAATCTCATTTATTTCAAGTAGGATGCATTCAGAGAGGCTTTTTAGCTGTTTTTATCCCAGTATCACAGGCACACATATATGAAGCTGTTTAAGTGCAGAAACACATTAAATCCTTACCGAGGTGGTTCTGTAACTCTCGTGTTTGCCCATCCTCTGTTGGGGTGATGAGATCCCATATAAAACTCTTTATTTTCTCATCCCCTCTGTAGTGAACGAGACAATAGGCTAACAGGGCTCGGCAAATTATCTCCACATCCTGCTCATTTAGCTGCCTCTTGAAGCGACCATGGGACAGAATTTCTCTCCATCGACCCCACCTAGTCCAAAGTGAAACAGAAATCAGCACCTGGAAATGAAACACTGGGGTAGCTACAGACTTCTACAAGAAAGAATTTTTTGCTAGAAATACTTAGCTTTTAACGCTTTTCTTTCAGCTTAAGCTACTGAATAGAAATAATAAAGTAACATTTGCAACATAACTCCTCCACCTGATTAAAACAGACTTCTAAACAGAAAGTGCCTCTTTACAAAAAAGGTGGATGGTTGTTTTAAACTTCAGACACAAAACTGATGGGAACTCATTCTTGCACGAATGCTATTATTTTTCTTGTAAGATGGGTGAGGAAGACCTAATATTTGATTTCCAAATCAACTTATCTGATTTCAGTATGCTTAAAATAACTGGTTAGATTCTCAGTTCCTATTTGTGCCTCACAGAAGTGCAAGATGTTCTACAATTATGAAAATCAAGTTACCAACAAAGGCTTTATTTCAGACATTTTTTAAGGAGTCTTGAGCCTGCCTGCTGCACTTACAATAATGACTTTAAGAGAGACTCCTGTAGTGCCCATGTTAAAATGCTATAATCT